TGGGTCGGAATCGACTCTATGGCAACAAAGTACAGACTCATGGGTTAATCTCATTGTTGGAGTCACACCTCAATACTACTTTGAATTGTCTGTAATTGTACCTAATTAAACTATGAAATTAAACATACATAGTTGTTGTTAAGTGCCATTGAGTCGGTTCCGACCCATAGCAACCGTATATAGGGTTTCCGAGGAGCAGCTCGTGAGCTTGAACCGCCAACCTTGCAGTTCAAACAGCTTTGCCATCTGGCGCATTAACCCACAGCGCCACACCAGGAGTCCTAAGTAGGTATCTGAACCCTGCCTATCTGTCTTCATGGCCATAAAATAAAAACAATGCTAAGAATTCAGTCATTACTTTCTGTTTGTTTTGTTTAATCCTCATAACTTTTCTGGATCAGATACTAATATAGTCCCCATTTTAGAGATAAGGAAATTACGCCTTACAGATATTAAGGAATTTTCCACAAGGTCATAAGTGATAAGATTAACTTTACCCCTGGCTCTGTCTGACAAAAAAGCTGATGTTCTTAAACCATTATGTTCTCTCTTTTTCCTATGAAATTCTTTAACATTGTTTTGATTACTACTTTTAGTATTGATGGTGTATGTCTCATGAGAAATTTCTACTTTCTAAGACATAACTTTTTTGGTTTACAAGTTGTAAGTTTTTTAGTAAAGGATTTCCCACAACAGTATACAAACTAAGATGTTGTCTTATACTTTACCAAGGATAGGAAAGAGGGGAAAAAAGGAAGTAGTAATATCAAAATCTGCATATCACCTGTTAAGAGATTTATTTTAACAAGCTGTGCTCAGCCTGTTGTTTTATTTTTTTCATGTATTACCTTTTAAAGCTAATTAAATGCTGTGACAGTTAAATGTCTATTACTATTACTGTGTACATCACTTAGCCTTGGTGACTTGCCACTGCAGAAACCTATGAAATGTTGAGATTTGTAACAAAGACTAATCAGTAAAGACTTTGAGATGGAACTTCAAAGAATGGCTAAGGCTGTAAGTTTCAAACGATGAAACAGAGAGTGTACTTTCTAGGAAAGAAACACAACCTTAAAGGTTCAGCCCCTTGAACACTTTCTAAAGGTGCTAGCTAAACGTTCAGGACTAATTCTGGCCATTACCACTTGTCATTTTCTCCCTAACAATGACTCTCAGGTTACTGGAAACTGTAGTCTTCTGATGATAGGAAAAGGAGGGGAAAAAAAAAAAAAAAGTGGTGGATTACTCATAAACTTGCCTTTTTGTCATCCTGATTCTCTTTATTCTTTTTTTTTTTTTAAATGAAAATGGAGAGAACTCAGGAAACCGTCCAAATCCATCTACTTTGATCTATTTCCTGTTTGTACCCAAGATGATAAACATATTAGGGCCCGTGAGGAAAAAGAAAACAAAAAAGTACTCTTTTTGTAATCTTTACATGCCTGACCTTCATGTGTACACAGCAGGATACTGGAGAAGTTTGGAGGTCAGTATAAGTTTTTTGTTTGTTTGTATGTGTATGCAGTTTTTTGTTTTTTACAGGATTTGTCTTCCTTTTATTCAGTTTCTTTCATCCTCTGTTGGTGTGCTCTAAATACGTGGAAATCATTGTCCTCTTCTGGAGTTTCCCTGTGTCCCTGCCTTGCCTGTATTCTAGCCTACCTGGGCTCACATACAAAAGGGAGCAACAGCGGTGCTCATCTCAAAAAATAAGAAAATGCTCAAACCAACCCCAGGCGCTTATGGTCCTGGTGTGGGTATGTAGGATCACTAGACTACAAGGGCGATGTGAACCTCAAGGTGGCGGTTCAAATCCACCAGCCGCTTCACGAAAACCCTAAAACAGGGTCGCCATGTGTCGGAACCCACTTGAAGGCACTTGGCAACAACAAACCTAAAGCCGAAAGTGCCCTGGCAACTTAGTGGGTTACTGTAGGGCTGCTAGCTCAGCAGTTCGAATCCACCAGCGGCTCTAAACCCCATGAGTCCCCAACCTCCTTCCTGGAGGTGCTGACAGCGGCCCATAATGCGCTTCCAGGGACCCCCATAATCCACTTACATAGTGGGTTCCGAATCATAAGGACTCTAGGTATTTCCAAGGCTGTCGATCTCCATGCGGCCAGTGTGTATTAAACAAACAGGGCCTGGGCCTCGCTGCCTCCCGGCTCCTTCCCATCCCTCTCCGCCAAGTATTCACCTAGGGCGCTCGAAGTCGCCGCGGCCGCCGCAGCCAGGAGCACGCGCGCCATTTCGGGAACTGCGAGCACCGGATCCCCGAAGTGCGGAGTTGGGCGAGATCAGAAGCCTAGAAAGCGCAGCAACCTGCAGAGACCGTTCTACCAGCGCTCGCCAGGGCCCGCGAAGCTAGGGGCCGAGGGGCGGAGCTAGGGGGCGGGCCGAGGGGGCGGGACACGCGTGGTGTGGGTGTGGCCAAAGTTGTTCCTTTCCCGAGTCCTTCAATATGGTTTCTGCGATGTTTTATTAAAGTGTGGCGCTGTAGGTCACTATACTACAAGAGCGATTTGAACCTCAAGGTCGGCGGTTTAAACTCCCCAGCTCCTCGGAAACCCTACAAAGGGACCGACTCGACGGCACTTAACAACACCAACATATAGGCTAGGGGAAAACTAACAACTATTTTGTTGTTAAGTGCCATCGAGTCAGTTCCGACCCATAGCGACCTTGTGTAGTGTTTCCGAGGAGCAGCTGGTGAGCTTGAACCACCGATCTTGCAGTTCAAACGGCTTTGCAGTCTGGCGCATTAACCCACAGCGCCACACCAGGACTGTATCTGAAATGGAAACTCAATGCAAATTCCTGCCACCCTTGTGGCTTCCTCAGGGATCCAAACACAAAGTTTGGAGAGATCAAAGATGCAACCCGTTGTTATTTTTCTGTTGCCCGCTCCGCCTCTTTGCTCGAGCCCAATGCAAAGTCTCGCCTGCGATTGGCTGTGGCTTGGGGGTGTGTCCTGAATCTGTGCGCCGCGGAACCATTGTCTCCGGTTCTAGGTTCCACACGCCCGTCTTTGCAGCTGCGCTTCCGGTTGGTGTCTGCCTTTACATGCGGCGCCTTGTCTTCAGCTGTTGGCAACGATGGCTCGGCGGGTCGGGCGTCGGCAAACCTTGGATGGGTGTTTGCGAGAAATCAGTAAAGCCACTCATCAGCCCGAGTGCTTTCTCACGTAAGTGCGCAGAGCCGGAGCTCTAAATGCGTCCCCGGTGTCACGAGGGCCCCAGGCCAGTTTTGGACTTGGGGAAATGTAGATCACGTTCCCCCAAATTGCAGATCAATCTTATGCTCCCTTAATCTGGTTTTTAAAATTTGTCCAAAGCTTTACAATGCAGAAGTCCCAGTAGTAGGATGAGTTATTAACGCCCAGACTTCCCGTAAGGCTTTTTCTCTCACCCCTGAACTTTGCCTCTGTTGGTCCTTTTTCCTCCCAAGTCACCGAGAGCTTACCCATCATCCTATTTTATTGAGAGTGGTAATTTATCGGTTGTCTAGCCACAACTAAACTTCCTGATATTTAGGATGTTTTTAATCTTTTCCCAACACAAACTCTTATGTGTCTGTTTTCTTGAAGGGTTTCAAATAATGATCTATGAAATCTAACTCCGTTTCTCTCCCTCGAGTTCCAGATTTACAGCAACTACAGCCACATGCGCTCAACATCTTAAATTCAGTATATACAAAATAGAATTGTTTCTGCTCACCCTTTCCCTTTGCTGAACTCCCTTCCCCACACACAATCCCCCATCCAAGCCTTCCCCGTTACCCCAAACTCGGGTCCAATTCCCTGGAACAATTGAGGTCAGCTAATAACACCACCAGGCAAAGCACAGAATGAGATTACAGACCTTTCTGTTTATTAGAAACTGACTAGTTAGGTGCCATCGAATCAGTTCGAACTTATGCACAACAGAATGAAACACTGACTGGTTTTGCACCATCCTCACAATTATTGTTAAGCTTGAGCCCATTTTTGTTGCCATTCTGCCCCTCTATCATGTTGAGGGTCTTCCTCATTTTCACTGACCCTCCACTTTTACCTAGCATGGCATCCTTTTCCTGGGACTGGTCCCTGATCGTATGTCCAAAGTATGTGAGACCAAGTCTGTGAGGCCATCTGGCCTCTAAGGAGCATCCAACTGTACTTTATTCCAACACAGATTTGCTTCTTCTGGCAGACCATGGTACTTTTCTCCAACACCCTAACTCAAATGTAGTAATTCTGCTACACTCTTCCTTATTCACTGTTCAACTTTCACATGCATATGAGGTTATTGAAAATATCATGGCTTGTATTGGGTACACCTTAGACCTCAAAATCTTTGCTCTTGAACACTTTAAAGAGGACTTATACAGCATATTTGCATATGATTTGCTGACTGCTGCTTCCATGATTGTTGATAATGGATCCACACAAAATAAAGTCTTCTTTTGATGCTTTCTGCACCATTCAGTATTTTCCCCATATTTTGTAGTTGTTAAGTGCCATCGAGTCGATTCTGACCCATAGCGACCCTGTACAGGGTTTCCAGGGAACAGCTGGGCTATCAAAGAGATTGTCCGATGATTTTTACATTCCGTTGCGTCACCTTGAACTGCATTTTGCATTCCGTTGGTGATCTTGAACTGCCAATTTTGCAGTTCATATGACTTTGCAGTCTGGCGCATTAACCCACAGCACCAAACAATAGAATCCTGAAATATTTGAAGTTAAGGTTTGATTTTTTTTCTTCACTTCTTTCAGCTTGAGAAATGCTGAGAGTGTTCTTCCATTTTAGTTTTCTAACTCCTGGTCTTTGCACATTTCATTATAATACTTGACTTTGTCTTCTCGAGCTGTTGTTTGAAATTTTCTGTACAAATCTTTTGTCGACTCATTTCTTCAATTAGCTCTAGCATCTCTATTCTGGAGAGCAAGTTTCAGAGTCTCTTCTGACATTCATTTTGGTCTTTTCCTTTTTTCTTGTCTTCTCAATGACCTTTTGCTTTCTTCTTGGTGTCATCCCATAACTCTTCTTGTCTATGGTCATTAGTGGGTTTTGGGGGGGATTTGTTCTTAATTTATTTTATTTTTTTTAAATATATCTTTTTTGTGTCACATGAGTGCTATTCCCATCTTATTTCATCAGTCTCGCCCTGACAGATTGGATACTACTCAGTGGAAATTCTATCTTCCTCTGCGCCCTCTGGATCTAGGCTCCCTCTTGAAAGCTTATAAGCCAGTCACTTCTTGCTTTTTTAGACCCCCATTATGGGTAGCCAATGTCCATGTTGCCCATCCCTGTCTACTCTGTGTATGCAGGCAGTGGGAATGATCCTTGCTGTAAAGATTTGTTCCCTCTTTTGAGCTACTGCATCCATAGGTGTAGGTCAACTTCATCAAATTGTATCAGATTACTCTTTTTTTTCCTCTTCTTTCTTCTTCTAGTTGAGCTCTGATCATCCAGTTCATCAAATTGTATCAGATTACTCTTTTTTTCCTCTTCTTTCTTCTTCTAGTTGAGCTCTGATCATCCAGTCATTGAAGCCAGGTCAAGTGAATATTATCTGCAAGTGTGGGTGTTCTTGTGCATATGCCCTGTCTTCTTATCACCTGGTTGCTTCACTCTCCACTCTAGTCCTCTGTGGCTATGTCACTGACTCTGGGCACAGGAATCCCCAGGTCTTGCCACACTGCTGGCCAACCGGCTCTCCACCCGTTTTCACAGGAGTCTATTGAACATGGTTGAACTTAGTTCACAGCTTCATTGCTGTTTTGCTTTTTTTTTAATGTTTTATTGTGAATTATGTGATAGTTTACATGGGAGAACATTAATTTTACATTCATCCTAGCGCATATCGTTTCATTGCCATGGTTACTGAATTCTGCAAACTCAATGATTTGTTCATTTCAAATACCTTTTTTTAGACAGCATAAGAGACACATGAACCTTACTAGTTGGAATACATAGAAATCAAATTGACTACATCTGTGGAAAGAGGCAATGGAAAAGCTCCATATCAAAGACACTCTCTTTGATATCCCATGCGAGTAAAGTTTTACTAAAGGTAATACAGAAACGGCTGCAAGCATACATTGACAGAGAACTTCCAGAGGTTCAAGCCGGATTCAGAAGAGGCTGTGGAATGAGGGATATCATTGCTGATGTTTGATGGATCTTGGCTGAAACCAGAGAATATCAGAAAGATGTTTACCTTTGCTTTATTGACTACACAAAGGCTTTTTGTTTTTGTCGGTTTAATTGATTATTGTTTGACATCCAGTGACACTGACACAGCCCGCCGGCCCAGGTGAGCCTGACCTGTCCAATAAAATACAGTACGAGGAGTGGATACACAAATGCTTTTGATTGTGTGGATCATGACAAGCTATGGACAACATTGCGAAGTATGAGTATTCTGGAACATTTCATTGTGTTCATGAGGAAAATGTATGTGGACCAAGAGGCAGTTGTTCGAACAGAACATGGGAACACTGAATGGTTTAATTTTAAGAAAGATGTGCAACAAGGTTGTATTCTTTCACCATACTTGTTCAACCTGTATGCTGAGCAAATAATCCGAGAAGCTGGGTTTTATGAAGAAAAATGTGGCATCAGGATTGGAGGAAGATTCATTAACAACCTGCGATATGCAGATTATACAATCTTGTTGCTGAAAGTGGAAAGGACTTAAAACATTTACTGATGAAGATCAAAGACCACAGCCTTCTGTCTGTATTACATCTCAATGTAAAGAAAACAAAAATCTTCACCACTGGACCAATTAACAACATTTTATCAACAGAGAAAAGATTGAAGTTGTCAAGGACTTCATTCTTCTTGGATTGACTATCAACACTCAGGGAAGCAGCAGTCAAGAAATCAAAGGTCGTATTGCATTAGGCAAATCTGCTGCACAAGACCTCTTTAAATAGTTGAAGAGCAAAGATGTCAGCTTGAGGACTAAGGTGTGCCTGACCCAAGCCATGGTATTTTCAATAACCTTATATGCATGCGAAAGCTGGACAGTAAATAAGGAAGACTGTCAAAGAATTGACGATTTAAGTTATGGTGTTAGAGGAGAATATTGAAAGTGCAATGGTCTGCCAAAGGAACCAGCAGATCTGTTTTGGAAGAAGTGCAGCTAGAGTGCTCCTTGGAGGCCAGAATGGCAAAACTTCATCTCTTATACTTTGAACATATTGTCAGGAGGGTCCAGTCATTGGAGAAGGATACCATTTTTGGTAAGGTGTAGGGTCAATGAAAAAGAGGAAGACCCCAGTGAAATGGATTGGCCAAGTGGCAGCATCGATGGAGTCAACCGTGGCAACAGTAGTGAGGTTAGCCCAGGATCAGGCATTGTTTTGTTCTGCTGTGCATAAGGTCGCTATGAGTCGGTACCGACTCGATGGTACCTAACTACAACAATTAGTTATAGGCAGAAGATGTTTAATTCATTAAATCTGTTCTGGAGCTGCTCTCTAAATTCACGGGGGAATTTGCTCAGGATCAAATTTTTGCTCTTATGGACTTATTTTTCATTTTTTCAGCTTCAGTCTGAAGAAATTCATGGTCTGTTCCTCAGTCTGCCCTTGGCCTTGTTTTTTGTGATGATCTGAAGCGTTTCCACCTTTCCACAGATTTAGTCCATTTGATTTCTGTGTTTGCCATCTGATGTGGCCCATGTGCATAGTCCTCTTTTATGTTGTTTTAAAAAAAAGGTATTTGCTTGTCAAGTCATTGGTCTTGCAAAATGCTATCATGTGATCACCAGTGTCGTTTCTGTCACCAAAGCTGTATTTTCTAATTACTGATCCTTACTCTTTGCTTCCAACCATTGCATTCCAATCACCAGTAATTTTCACTACATCTTGATTGCATGTTTAATCAATTTCAGACTGACGAAGTTAGTAGACTCTTCAGTTTCATCATCCCTGGCTTTAGAGGTTCATGCACATTTTTGAATAATAGTGGTATTAACTTATTTTTCATATAGAGGTATGGATATTATCGTCTCACAGACAGTACTGTATTCAAGATAGATCATGAAATATTCTTTTTGTTGATAAATGCAATACCATTCATCTTCAATATGTCATTCCCGCACAGTAAACAACATGAATGTCAAACTCTAACTGGCCAATACCAGTCCAATTCAGCTCACTAATGCCTAGGATATCAGTCTTTATGTGTTCCATTTCATTCTAACAGCGTCCACTTTTCTTTGATTCATACTTTGTGCACTCCATCTTGCGAGTAGCACCATCAGCAAATGAAGGTACCGAGAGTTTTACTCCATTCACGTCATCCCAGTCAACTCTACTTTGAGGAGGCAGCTCTTCCCCAGTCGCATTTTGAGTGACTTTCAACCTGAGGGGCTCATCTTCCAGCACTGGATCTGACAATATTCTGGTGCTCTTCATCCTGTTTCAGTATTCAATACTCTGGTGTTATCTGACAATGTTCACTGCTATTCATAAAGTTTTCAGTGGCTAAACATTCAGAAGTGCTTTGCCTCTCCTTGTTAGTCTTGCTTAGACTGAAAGCTCAGCTGAAACCTGTCCACCACGAGTGACCCTGTGCTGGTATTTAAGATACTGGTGGCATCGCTTCCAGCATTTCAGCAACATACTGACAAATGAGGGCTGGCTCAGGCGGGAAATCCCACAGCAACAAGCTGGGTTTTAATCGGTGTTCACATTGCTTCGGCTGACACGAGACTCTTAACAACATGGGGTACGTATCCAAGCACGTGATCTTACATTCTGCCGAGTACATGGTTCACAAGAAACTTGGTAAGTGCTGCTGAGTTGATTCCGATTCATAGCGACCCTGTATAGGGTGTCCAAGGAGCAGCGCTTATGATTAGTAGTCCAATGTTTATTGTACAGTGCCACCCCAGGATTGCACAAGAAAGGTACAAGAGCACAGAAGGAGCAAAACGAACTCTGGTTTACTGGCCCAGTGCCTGTATGTCCAGATGGCTATTCCTTAGAAGTTATTCAAACAAGGGTCCCAGTCTCCAGACATTCATAGGCAACCTAAGTAGTTACAATGCACATTTAAGAAACAAGAGCTGTGGGGAGAAGTGTAGAGTATGCTTTCAGTCAGTGCTTGCTTGCTTGTATTTTATTGTTAGCTAAGCAACCTATTTGTGCTCTCATTCCCACTCAGTTAGTGGCACCTCTAACTTTCTAGTTGCTCAAGCAAATACCTATTCTTCTTTGCTGTCTTCCTTTTCTCCCAATTCTGTAGCTTTGTTATTGTTAGGTGCCATCGAGTCGATACCGACTCAGCAACCTTGTGCACAACAGAACGAAACACTGCCCAGTCCTGGGCCAACCACGCTTGAGCCCATTGCTGCCACTTTGCCAATTGCCAATCCATCACATTGGGGGTCTTCCTCTTTTTCTCTGACTCTCCACCTTACCAAACATGATTTCCTTCTCCAGCGACTGGTCCCTCCTGACAATATATCCGAAGTAAGAGAGACGAAGCTTAGCCATCCTGGCCTCCAAGGAGCACTCTGGTTGCACTTCTTCCAATACAGATCTGTTGATTCTTTTGGCAGTCCATGGCACTTTCAGTATTCTCCTCCAACACCACAACTCAAAGCCATCAATTCTTCTGCGGTGTTTCTTATTCACTGTCCAGCTTTCAAATGCCTATGAGGTTATTGATTTGCTTACTCATTAGCAAATCCTGTAAGTTCAAGCTCCAAACTATGTTTTGGGTATGACGATTTCTCAGTATCTCTACTGCTGTAACTCAGGCCCAAGCCAACATCATCCCTGGCCTGGGCCTTCACATCAACCTCCTAATTTTTCTATGTTTGTTGTTTGTCCTCCATAGGCCATCATTCCTACAGCAAATCATACCTTGCCGTTTTATTTCCCTGCTTAGTGACCTCTCTACACTTTAAATTCTTGCCAACTTTTACCTGTGAATTATTGGCTCCCACCTACCCACCCAGCCTCGTTCCAAGTCCACTGGCTTTTGTGTTTCTCAAGCTCACCAAATATTTCCTTCTAAGGGAGTTTGTTCTTGCTGTTTCATCTGCCTGGGGTACATGTTTCCAGATCTTTGCAAGGCTGTCTTTCCATCTGTAGATATCATCTCGGGTCTCACCTTAGAAAGCTCATCCCTGACTCTTTAGCTAAAGCAGATGTGGTCATTGAGGGAAGGAAGAAGAGTTGGGCCTTTCATTTAGAATGTTGTGAAAACATCAATCTCGTTTTTCTCTCTCCCTCCCATACTAGGATTCAAGATGGATTGGCATCAAAATTTACCTCATTAACAAAAGCACTTTATGACTTTCATAAGATATTAGAGGATGGGAGTATCCATGGGAGTCCTTTGAAAAAACTAGAAATTAACCATTTTGATGATGAGCAGATATGGCAACAACTGGAATTGCAAAATGAACCAATTTTACAGTACTTCCAGAATGCAGTTAGCAAAGCAGTGAAAGACGAGGAGGACCTCAGTCTTCTCCCAGAGGCTGAAGAGCCAGAACTTAAAGAGGGCAGTTCAGAGATGGAGTCTGATAGGGAAGAGGATCTAGAGCAAGACTTGGAGGAAGGAGCCTCGTCAGATCTTAATGGTGATCAGCTCGAACGACAAGAGAGCAGGAAACACCTGAGCAAACTCGATCCTGGGAGTAGTCCAGACTTCAGCGATGACGATTCAGACTGTAACTTTGATATTAACAAATTGGAACAGCAGACCAAGGCGCAAAACAAAGTGGTGCCTCGGAAACCCAGAGAAAAGTCGATAGTAGACGATAAATTCTTCAAACTCGCCGAAATGGAAACCTTCTTAGAAAACATAGAAAAAGAAGAGGAAAAGAAAGGTGGTGAGGAGGAAGAGGAAGATATAAATTTTTTTGAAGATATTGATTCTGCTGAAGAGGATGAAGCACTGTTTGGAAGTCAGAAACCTAAGGTACAGGTTTAGTGAGACAATACTTCTTTCAAAATTAGACTCCGGTCTTATTCTCTAGGATAGTTTTAAAGCATGCCAAATTCATCAGGACATAAGTGAGTTACTTAAATGGGGAAAAAAATACTCACTGGAAAATTAACTGAAGGTCTTGTTTTCTTACCACAAAACACTTCACTTGTTATGTAGCTTAAGAACCATAACCATGTGTTACAGATATCCTGAATTTTCCCTCAAACATGTCTTTTGATCATTTATATACTTTGAATCAGGGCTATTTTATAGATGTTTGTAGTTGGAAGATTTAAGATGTTATTAATTATAAATGAGTCTGCACTTCTATATAGTTATAGTTCTTATGGTTTTATGGTGGTGTTATTTATTATTATGGTAGTTGCCAATTTTCCCTAATAGCTGTTTTTGTTGTTGTTATGTGTCGTCTATTTGGTTCTGACTCATAGCAACCCTACATAGGGTTTCCGAAGAGCGGCTGGTGAGCTTGACCCACTGACCTTGCAGAGTTTGTGTTAAAAGAGCAGTGTAAATATATAATATGTATACATACATAAAGAAGCTCATTTTAATGTCTTTCTATCCTTAATTGAAAGCTTTTTTTTTTTTCCAGTCAGATGAAAGTTCCAGAAACCTGAAATACAAAGATTTCTTTGACCCAGTTGAAAGTGATGAAGACCTAGCAAGTGACCATGATGAGCAGAGTTCAGATGAAGAAGGGGACGTATTTGAAATGTGAGTGATTTGAATCGTCATTTACACTCTTAGCTGAAGCAGTCCCGCCACGTGGGTGTGCTCAGAATTCTCAAATGTGTTCATTAGGATTCTTTAAGATGGAATAGTCTCAAGATGGCCGGAATAAAGTCTCTGGAATAATGAAGTAACTTTGGAACTTCTCAAACTTTGTTAAATGTTTGGGTACATTAAACATACAAAAGGACTTAGTACTGGAAAATTGTTATTTTCTTAATGAAAAGTAATATATTTCCTGTCATAAGTGGTGTTTGTTTTATGTAACAGGATGGAAGATAGTGACCTTGAAGAAAGTGAAGGTGGTAAACAGCATGAAGATTTGAAACGTGTGACCTTTGCTTTGCCAGAAGATGAAGAAATTAAACATATGAAAGACGTAAAGAAAGATGCTGATGATGTTAAATCATCTTTTGAAAAAAGACAGGAAAAGGTAACTGATGAAGAATTTAAGGACTGTTTTATGTGTTTACCACAGCTGTGAGTAAAGACTCACAGACTACTAACTAACCTACCCTTTGTTATTTTTGCCTTCAATAAAGAGAAATTTATTCTCTCACACTTTAGGAGGCTTGGAGTCCAAATTCACAGTGCTGACTTTCTTTCCTTAATCAGCTCTGGGGAATGGTCTTGTAGTCCTTGGAAATTAGCATGTGACTTGACATCAATCTTCCCCCTGGATCTAGGAACTTCACATGACTAGGACCCCAAGTCCACAGGACACATTTCACTTCCAGCTCGTCTTTGTTGGTGGTGGTCAGTCCCTCTGAATTCTGTTAGCTTAATTTCTTTTATACCTCAAAAGATACATATCTCAAGATACAACCTCATCCTGTAGATTGCATGCAGCCTCATTAACATCGTCAAAGTGAGGATTTACAACACAAAGGATAATTCCATCAGATCAAAGCAGATCCTATCATGGGGAATGATTATATCATTACTTACCTGCCACATTGCATCATTACATAAGTGTCAAGCCACTGAGAATAGTGGCCCAGCCAAGCTGACACATATTTGGGGGGAACACAATTCAATCCATAACAGATGCTAAAGGGATAGCCCAGGAAGACAGCTAGGCAGCAGGCATAAGTAAACAGCCAGGTCAGCTAGGAGTAGCTCAGTGGAAACCTCAGGGAAATGTGTTTTGGGGGAGCACAATTCAATCTGAACCAGTGGGCTTGACTTCCTTTGAAAGTGGCACATTCATTCTGTCTTGTTTATGGCTTAGGGCTCCAAACCATGGGGTCCCATTTGAATGGCGCCTCATCGACTCTTCCCAGGCCACTAGGTGTCTCGTCCCTCTCCTCCAGGTGTCTAACCTACCTTTTCTTGATAAAACTGTTAGACATCTTTTTCTGTTTTAGTTCAAGAATCCTGCTACTCTCCAAAAAGCCCATGGAAAGAGCCAGTAATTGGCAGAAAACAGTGCCTGCCTTTCCCAGCCTGTGGCTTTCAATTTAGGGCCCATGTTTAAAAACTCTGTTCTTCTGTCTCTGGTGTCTCTCTTGAGTGCTTGTCCTGTGAGCCTCTCCTGTTTGTTTCAGCTTCTCTGTTAGATACTGCCTGTCGCTTTAAGATTCTCTGCAGGTGACTTCTGGGAACCCCACATAGCTTGAATTTTCATTCATACCATCTCAAGGACGTCTTCCACAGCAGATAACAATTTTTTCTCTTCCCGCTTTTTAAAATGCAATTGTGTTTATACAGTTTAAGGCCAATTTTGTGTAATTTCTTTTTTCTCTTCTTAGATGAATGAAAAGATTTTGTCTTTAGAAAAAGAGTTGTTGGAAAAAAAACCCTGGCAGCTTCAAGGGGAAGTAACAGCACAAAAGCGACCCGAGAACAGCCTTCTGGAGGAGACCCTGCACTTTGACCACGCAGTCCGGATGGGTATGCTGCTCATTGCTCCCTGGACTGCTTCCATGCTTTCATTTCCTAGGACGGTTTAGAAAGGGAATTCTGCCGCTGAACTTTTTATTTTAGAGTTTGCCAACAAAAAGGATTAGTACAGTGGACATGTGTATCGTGTTTAGCTGGACTGCCTAACTGTTACTATTTTGCCATATTGCCGTCTCCCTTTTGTTTGTGTGTGTATGTGTACATATGTGTATGTGTGTATCTGCACAACTTTTCCTGAATCACCTGGAACTAAGTGGCCAATGTCGTAGCACTTCACTTCTAAGTACTTACACTTTGTAAGAATTAGGACATTCTCTGTGCCCTTTGCTTGTTTAAATGATTGTATATTCCTGAGTGTTTTTGTGTACATCCCCCAGCAAAACAAAACAGAGGGAATAGAAGCAAAAATACTGTTGAATGATGATGCACGGAGGAGACTGTAATCATGGCAATGAAATGAGTATAAACCCGATGTTCTCCCATGTTAAACTATTACTCAATTCACAATAAAACCTTTTTTTAAAAGAAGGAGAATTAGAACATTCTTGTGTGGAACCATCGTAATGTTAATACTCCCGAGACATTTGCAGTAGTAATGCCTGATGGATTGTCCATAATCAGGGTCCTCATAAGGCGTCCCTGCTTCTGCCCACGGGCTAGGTTGTCATAACCAGTCAGGAGCACTAGTCATCTACTGGAGTTCTTTCTTGTATCCATAAAGTCAACACGAGTTTCCATTTTCATTCAGTGGAGGAGGAAATGAACTCGAGGAAGAACAGCAGCTGCCTGGACTCCAGTTGCTAGCACTTCCTGTACCATACACATTGTCCCTCCTCCGTATCTGCCCTGTGCGTCCACGCTCCAAAGATACCCACGTTCTTTATATAAAATGACTTGCATAAAACCTACTTACATCCTCCCATATGCTTTAAAATCAACCGTAGATTACTTAAAAAATCTAATAGAGTGTAAATGCTCTGTCACCAGCACTTTATACTTGGACTAAATTGCTTCTCTCCTGTTACGCACACGCCTCTCCCACCATTTTTTTCCCCCTATCTGTGATTGGTTGAATCCACAGAAAACCCCATGGATATAGAGGGCATGTCAAAAAGTGTGTGGAAAATGGAGTGAAAAGATGATAGACTTTTCCCACAAACTCAGAAGAGCTTGTTAAAATGCAGGTTACAATTTCCTCCCCTCCCCTTCTGAATGTTTGCACTTCTAACAGCACCCAGGTGTTACTGATGCTGCAAGCCCTAGCTAGGACCGTGGTTTCCCATTGTAGCTTCCTGAATATTCTGTGTTGTTATTTCCTTTAGCACCTGTGATCACAGAGGAAACCACCCTTCAACTAGAAGATATCATAAAGCAGAGGATAAGAGATCGGGTCAGTAATAATTAAATTTAACTTAAAATATACTGCAATTTTTTGAAATAATATGAGACTATATTAGGAGCGGAAAACGTCACTTCCATAGTTCTGCATTTTGAAACATGAGGTGAGAACTTAGGAGCCCCCCCTCTGCCTGCTGTGCCACAAGCCTGCTTGAGGAGAAAGGCCTGGTCAGAGGCAGTGCGAGTCTCCCCTACATCGTACTGGTCTTCAGTGTGGCCAGGTAACTGATGTGTGACTTGACGTGGGGCCACAAAGGACCTTGGTCCAGGCCCAGGCGCTGGTCTGGCATAGACAGTGTATGTGGAGTCCTAATGTGCTGCTGTAGGTCTGCAGTTCAAACCCACCAGCCGCTCCTTAGAACTGACACGACAGCACGTAGCCACAAGAAGTGTATATTTCTGTTAAAACCCTAGTAAACTATTTTGTTTGAAGAACTGATCTTAGTTAAACTTTGAATTCAATTTGAGTATATGACGTGTACAAGAGATAGCTTTGTAATGTGTGCTGTTTATGCTTCCAAGTGTAAACAGAACATGTTTGAAGGGCAGAAATGTGAATCAAAACAATGTGAAACAAAGCAAGACAAACTTAAGGCTTGATTTTAAAAGAAACCACCGTGAAAAAAATGTGTAATGGAAGGTGGAGGTTGTTATTAAGTGCCATTGAGTTGGTTCCGACCTGTAGCGACCCTATCTAGTGTTTCTGAGGAGCGGCTGGTGAGGTTGAACTGCCGACCTTGCAGTCCAGTACATTAACCTGCAGCACCACACCAGGACCCCAGTGAAAAGTGGTAACCAGAGAGAAAGTACCAGCTTTGCTTTTCATAATAGTGCCTATGCCTTGTGACTTTGGTAGTTTCAAAGATTAAAAATGACTTTCTTTTTACTGCAGTGTGCTTGCTCTACAATGATGACACTGCAGGGGGAAATTGCTAGGCCAGTTACAGAGAAATTACAGATTTAGAAGTTGATGTTCTGTCCTCCCTTTACGTTTCAGGCTTGGGATGACGTAGTACGTAAAGAAAAGCCCAAGGAAGATGCATATGAATATAAAAAGCGTTTAACACTAGACCATGAGAAGAGTAAATTGAGCCTCGCTGAAATCTATGAACAGGAATACATCAAACTCAATCAGGTAAGGAAGCCTGCATGGCAAAGTCACCATGAGAGGGAGCGAAGACCCTGCCCTCTCAAGACAGTTGGAATTGATGAAGCCGAAATCCTGAGCTCTTTCGTCACTTCAATTACGAGTGAGGTCATGTGCTAGGGTTAAAAGGGTTGTGATTGTCCCACTGAATCTCAGGGTCTTGAGGCGGGATATTTTGCAGTTAGAAATCGGTCACTTGGTACATTTTGGATAGTTATTCACTTTCTGTTGATTTTATTATCGTAATACTACAACTTAAAAATCATTGTTCAATGATGTTTTTGAAGTTATTGATATATTTTATAAAATTTCTGTGACTCCACTATGATATTTAACATCTGGTATTTCTTTTCCTTTCTTAATTTTCCTTCAATGAATTCTAAAATGGGTCTTCTTATTGAAAATTGGGACGCTGTCATATTCCTACTAGTTGGCCCTGAAGTGATAACTGACTTTACATTTGATTTCTTTATTAAGAATGCAGTTAATTTGTGCTTGAGGTTGAGATGACATTTTTATTTTGCAGAAGCCATTTAAGATTCCTATCAGGTCTTGTTAGTTGATACCAGTTGGGCAGCAACAGTGAACAGTGGGGCCCTGTGGTCTCATTGAAGTTGAAGAACCGGAGAGATCTGAATTACAGTTCTTCCTGGTACTTCAAGAGAGAAATGTACAGTGTCAGTTGAAGCTTGTAAAACATCTTTTGGCTAGTATGAGGAGATTCTATAAATAAATAGAATAAGAGTTTAACATTATTTATGTAATGTTGTTAAGTTTGGAAGTCAACGGTCAATTCAGAGACTTTCTAAATTATTAGAAAATCAGTCAGAAGCCCATCATAGATTTAATGTAAATGCCCTAGACTAACTCTAGTCTCCTAGCACTCGTCTGTCAGTTTGCTTTACTGTGGTGACTTGTGTCCTGCTGGACGCTATGCCAGCCACATTTTAAATACCAACAAGGGCATCCGTGTTTTAGCGGCGTTTCCAGACTAAGACGAGGAAGAAGGCGAGGCAGACCATTTCTAAGGGCTAGTCTTGGAAAACATTACGAATAGCAGTGGAACACTGGCAGATACCCAGTCCTGAAAGACAAGCCCCTCGCGTTGGAAGACACTCAGAATGTGACTGGGATGGAGCTGCCTCCTCACAGTTGAGTTGACCTCAATGGCATGGATGGAGTAATCGGAATCTTAGTGTGCTGGTGGGGCACAAGTCAAAATGAGAGAAACAGATATTTCACATATCTGAAGTGTGAAATATGTGAAGTATGAGTCTAGGAATGTTGAAATTCAAAATGAAGTGAGACACATAAGGATCAATTTCCTAGACATCAGTGAGCTGAAATGGACTGGCATTGGCCATTTTGTATCAAACAATCAAGGTTTCCTATGCCGCAATGACAGAGGAATGGTGTCAAATTCATCGTGAAAAGGAGCATTTCAAGATCTATCTTGAAGTACAATACTCTTTGATCGAGTAATATCCATACAAGGAAGACTAGTTAATACCACTATTAGTAAAATTTACATTGTTGTTGTTGTCAAGTGCCATTGAGTCGATGCCGACCCATAGCGACCCTGTGTAAGGTTTCCAAGGAGCAGCTGGTGAGCTTGTCCACCGACCTTGCAGTTCAAACGGCTTTGCAGTCTGGTGCTATTAACCCACAGCGCCACACCGACCTCTAAAGCCACAGATGATGAAATTGAGGAATTGTACCAACTTCTGAAAGGAGCTCTGGTAGTGTAGTGATCACGAGTCAGGCTGCTAATCTCAAGATCAGCAGTTCAAAACTACCAGTGGTAGTAGATGAGACTTTCTTGTCCCATAAATATTTACAGTCTCGGAAACCCTATACAGGGTTGCTATGAATTGGAACCAACTCCATGGCACATAACCACCACCACCAACTTCTGAACTCAGAAATTGATCCAATGTGTAATCAAGATGCTTTGATAATACAGGTAATAGAAATATAAAGGTGGGAAACAAAGAAGGATCAGTAGTTGGAAAACATGGCTTTGGTGATAGAAATGATGCTGCAGAGTCAAAATATGACCTTGAGTCTATCCCACCTGAATTTAGAAACCATCTCAAAAACCAATTTGATGAATTAAACACTAAAGACTGAAGACCAGAGAAGTGTGGAATGACATCAAGAATATCATCCATGAAGAAAGTAAAAGGTTAGACAGGAAAGAAAGAAAAGACCAAAGTGAATATGTTAAGACTTTAAAAGTTAAAGCAACTTAAGAAATGATGAAGTAAAATCTGAACAGAGTATTTCAAAGGGCAGCTCAAGATGACAGAGTAAAGGATTATAACGAAACGTCCAAGGACCTAGAATTAGAAAACCAGAAAGGAAGAACATACTCAGTATTTCTCAAACTAAAAGAAACTCCAGTCTCCAGTTACAATATTGAATGGACAAAATATTGAATGATTCAGGAAGCGTCAAAGAAAGCTGGAAGAAATACACAATGTCCCTGTATGCGAAGGAAAGCGTCCGCATTCAAACGTTCCAGGAGGTAGTATGTGAAGGAAGAAGCCTCACTGAAGGCACTGGCAAAAAGCGGGCTTTCGGGATTACGTCATTTAACAATTCTAGGCCCATCCCAATTTCCCTGGGCATTATAATCCGGAGTTGTTGTTAAGTGCCATTGAATCAGTGCCAACTCATAACGATCCTATATGGTTTTCCAAGGCTTCAAATTTTTGCAGGAATCGAAAGCTCTATCTTTATCTGGAGGGTAAGTCCGTATTTCCCAAACTTGGGACCCTTACTTCTCCTTGTGTATTTGATGCGTATCAGGAAAATACTGTGTATCAAATGTTTGAGTTCACTGTTGAGGTCTTTGAGTCAGAATCAACTGGATGGCAGTGGATTTGGTTTAGTGTTTTGGTTACCTAGGAGAGGACTCTCTTGGTGATACAACTGGTAAAGCACTTGACTACTAGCCAGAAGCTTGGTGATTCAGACCCAACCAGAGGTGCCTCCGAACACAAGCTTGACAGTGTGTTTCCTAAAGAGCACAGGTGTTCGTGCCCTGTGGGTTAGCTCCACTCTGCACATGGGATTTCCGTAAGCTGGTCATTGCTTGACAGCAGCTAACAGCAGCATTACTTAGCATAGGGCAGTGGTGGTGTCACCTTCCTCACCGGAAACCGGAGCTTCGTTTCACAGACAGCCACCCCATCTCCTCGACGTGTGCTGCCATGATGCTGAACAGGTTTCAGCAGAGGTCCTAGACTATGGTGGAGTCTGCAGAAAGGCCTGGCTGTGTACCTTCAAGAAGCAGCAACAGTGCAGTACCATTGTGCCTGGGTCGTCAGGAGTCAGCATTAGCTGGCATGACGGGAGAGGACCTATTCAGTGTCTACATTTTAACGAAGCTCAGAGCAGTAATTCAGCAGTCGTACGTGGTACATGGCATGGCTGGAAGGTGGACAGTTTTTAAAAAACAGAATCGTTGTTAAGTGTCACTGAATCTATTTCAACTCATGTTGTTAAGTGCTGTTGAGTCTGTTTCGATAAATCTATTCAGGGTTTCCGTGGAGCGGCTGGTGAGCTTGAACCATCGACCTTGCAGTTCAAACTGACCTGCATATTAACCCACAGCGCCACACCAGGACTCCTAGCGACCCTGTCGGCTTTCAGAAGCTGTAAATACTGTTTACAGGAACAGAAAACCTTATCTTTCTCCCACTGAGTGGTTGGTGGATTCGAACCACCGACTTTGTGGTTCACAGTCCAGTGCTTGTCCTACAAAGCCACTGCAGTACAGCTGGATATTTGAATCTTTTTACAAAGTGTGCTAACACATTGGTTTGCAATAGGAATAAATAACAAAGACATTAAATACCAGAGTTCTAAGTGCACGTCCTCAGGTACACATTTTGTGGGTATATGCTGGCACCATCGTTGTATGGGTGATGTTATATCTTAACTGATTTTTTTGTAACAGTCCTTTGTTGTTAAAACCTTGACCATGAAAGCCTGGGAATCCCTTCGGTGGTCAATAGTGTTTTGTCCTGTGATGTATATTAAGCTGCTTACTCTCATACTGTTGATCTTCTTTCCTAAGCACAAAACAACAGAAGAAGAAAATCCCGAGCATGTGCAAATACAGAAGATGATGGATTCACTCTTCTTAAAATTGGATGCCCTCTCAAACTTTCATTTCATACCTAAACCAGTAAGTATGTTAGCATGGAACATATTACACATGTGTACAACAACAACAGGTGTGACCTGAAGTCTCCTGAGCTTTTGTGGCACTTGCTGCCTTTTGGTTTTTCAGGAAACAGACTTGCAGTTGTTGTTGTTAAGGGCCAGCGAGTCTGGTCCCACTGTAAGGTTTCCAAGGAGCGGCTGGTGAGTTTGAACCACCGACCTTGTGGACCCATGCTTTATCCCACAGCAGCCTTTTCTGGGGAAGAACTCTCGTCTACTCCTGTAACCTAATACCTACTGACCCAACTCCATCTCCAGTGGGCCCTGCCAGCCCTCAGCTTTGGCCGGCAGAGCCTCCCTCGCTCTCTCCTTAGCTCTCTCCTTAGTCGGTCTCTTGCTGCACTCTCATTGTGAGATGGTTTGGAGGGGTGTGTGTGCGTGTCTGCATTAGCTCTCTAGTCCACAGTTGTACTATTGTTGTGAGATGGGTTTGGAGGTTTGTGTGGGTGTCGGCATTAGCTCTCTAGTCTCCTGTTGTACTCTCATTGTGAGATGGGTTTGGAGGGGTGTGTGTGCGTGTCTGCATTAGCTCTCTAGTCCCCAGTTGTACTATCGTTGTGAGATGGGTTTGGAGGTTTGTGTGGGTGTCGGCATTAGCTCTCTAGTCTCCTGTTGTACTCTCATTGTGAGATGGG